AAGAATATCACTTTGCATAAGTCAAATATTGAAATTATTTTTCTCTCAGAGGAACTGAAAGGAGAATGTTGCACCTGCTAAAATTATAAATCCATTTTAAGTTTCAAAAAATGAGCCACTTTAGTTCTGAGAGTGCCAAGGGTGGTCATGACTTTCCCAAACCAGGGACTCTCAAAGCAATGGTAGGCTACCTTGTGGGCTTGTTGGGTGCCTGTCTAAAGTGTCTGATACATAACAGCAGCTCAATAGTAATATCACCAGTGAATCACCAAGTCTGACACATGATGATTTTGATACATGTAAGATGAATGGGTGGGCACTGTCCAACACAAGCCAGAAGGTAGCACACAGGCCCCTATTCAGACACGGCTCTGCCACCCCTCTGCTCGGCCATTGAATCATCAGCCTCTGTTTTTAAAGTCATACATTCATGGGAACAACTCCAGAACTTTGGAATCAGAAAGATGTCCAGGCATACGGTTGTATACCAAGAGGTTGGTGGGTCTGACATGCAGCCAGAGACTGTTGAACCACAGATTCAAATCTTGGAGGAGGACTCTGTCAACAGTGCTGTGCTTTTCTCTGTGTACCAGAGGCTTTCAAACTTTACTGAGAAACAGTATCCCCTGAAGAGCTTATTCAAACAGACCACTGGCATCCACCCAAATCAGAGCTTCTGATTTTTCTGGCAAGAGGGGCCTAAGAAATTTGCATGTCTAACAAATTCCCCAGAGATGTTTTTGCTTCTGTCTGGGGACAATTTGAAACCACTGTGCTGCATCCAGGGCTCTCAACCCTAGCATATTTTAATGGCCAGCATGGTTTTAAATATATCCCCCTACTGTAAATAATTGGATTTATTTTTATGTGTGTATTTATCTTTTTTATAATTGGTTTTAAATAGTCTTGGAGGGGGAAATGAATGCCTCACAATTTTAGTGCATGTAGGGTTAGGAACTCTCCTTTAAGTGACTTCTGTTCTAACTCTAAATGTGCCCTGGGATCAGTACCACCCCACCTCAGACCAGTGGAACCTGAATCTGCATTTTAAGAAGCATCCTAGGTGGTTCTGACACATGCTAGGGCCTCATTCATTCTACTTTTCACCCTAAGTGCGGTTTTACCAAAAGTTTCTTCTTGCACCTTTGTTGAGAGACCTGGATCTCTCTGGAGTTCTCAGGTTGAAGAGTGAGAAATGGAGACAGCATTACACAGTGCTTCCCAACAGGCAGTAAGCAGTTTGCAGAGCCTACAGAAAGAAAGTCTTCCCTTGATACAACTGCCCTTAGAGTAACTATACAGGTCAAATGTTTTAAAAAATGCGTAGATCTTACCAATAAGGCTAAACTGACTGATGAGAGAGCTCCAGGACTGCTCCTGTCTGCACCGCCACAGCTCTAGGATTACAAGTATATACCACTAGGTCCAGGCTTTATGTGAATCCTGGGGATCAAACTAGGTCTTCATGCCTGCATGACAAGCCCCTTACCAACTGCGCCATCTCCCCAGGCCCCTGTGGCATTGTTCCTAATTTTAAACAATAGAAATAAGCTATGGAAAAAGATGCATAAATTCTTAGAATTCAGAGATTTCCTACTTAAAAAATGAGAACTGTCTATGTTGCATACACTTGTGCATGTAATATAAACTCAATTTCTATTTCTTAAAAAATTTCATGGCATATATTTATAAATAGTCATTGAAAATCTAAAAATATACCCACCAATCTATGCAGAAATTGCTTTTAGGAAGTGAGACTGTATCATAGGAAGCAGTTTCCACTTTTTCTGTATACCTATCTACCATGTCTGCATTTGCTATAACAATCACATTGTTTTATTGGTTAAAATATCTCAAACATGTAAAAATGATTTCTTCAGAACTTCTTTGTCTGTTTTCTTTTTAAAATATTTTATTTATTATTTTCACTTTATGTGTATGAATGTTATTGCCCACGTGTGTTCAAGTACATTCATGTCATGCAGTACCCACAGAGATCAGAAGAGGGCGTCAGATCCCCTGCAACTGGAGTTACAGGTGGTTGTTAGCCACCATGTGGGTGCTGGGATTCGAACCTGGGTCCTCTGCAAGAGTAACCAGTGCTCTTAATCCCTGAGCCATCATTCCAGGCCTGAGTATGTTTTCTTAATCAGCCCATTTAGTTAATGTTAATTAGATATAATATACTATAATTGATTAGGTTTGGTTTTACTTAAATGAAATCTAATCCAATCTGGACCCCTTGGAATTAAATCTGGATAATTCTGATTGGTTTGTTTTTTTATTTGTTTATTTCCCAAAGAGTTCTTAACTTTTTTAAGATTTAATTTATATGCATTCATGTGTGTCTATATGTCTGTATGCACATGTGTGTGGATGTACTCAGAGGTCAGAAGAGGGTATTGGATCCCCTGGAACTGGAGTTACAGGCAGTTGTAAATCACCCAATGCCTAGTCTTCAGAGTTCGTTTTTAAAAATTGTTCTTAAACCAGGTTCACCTAGATTTTATACCTGATCAATTAATTTGTAAATATAAGGCCAGATATTTATGCTTCATTTTACTAAATTTCATCTTACAGATATCAGTCAAATGCTTCAGTTTGTTAATATGATTCTGCATCTTTAATTCTACTGTACTGTTTACTCCTCTAAGTTTTTCATGATGTGAAAATTAATTACCATGAAGATCATTAAACATATACATACTAGACACCAAGAAGTCTTCTAAACAGGAAAATTTTTTGTTGAAAATGAATCTATTTAGTCTTACATCCAAAGGAAATTTTCTCATATGAAGATTAAGATATCTCACTAAACCCAAGATAGGAAAGACATTGGGCCCAAGAGAAGCAAGGCAGCAAACAAGCAGTAGTTTCTCCTTGCCTTGTCTCTGCTTTTTTATGTTTTACCTCAGCCTACACACCCGCCTTCTCCTGACCCAACACTGCCTCACCCCAGCTGCACCCTTCACTGGCTCTCAAGTGAGCACGTGCACGACCACACACCCCAGTGTGGGTCTTGGTGTATGCACTTGCCTTGCCAGCTGCAACTCTTTCTTCTCGATTTGTGTTCGGGCCCCAAGCCCCTTCCAGTCCACCCTTCCCATCTATACCATCTGCAGGCTCCTCAACTTCACCCTCAATGACCCCAAAAAACACCCTAGTTTTTAAAAGTTATTATTATTTGTGTGCATGCATGCATTATGTATATGTAAATGTGGATACATGCATGTAGATAGCATGTATGTGGAGGTCAGAGGCCAACTTTCAGGAGTCGGTTATCTCTCTTCACTGTGGGGTCCAGGGATTGAACTCAGTTAGGCTTGTACAATAACCTCTTCTATCCACTAAGCCATCCTGCCATCCCCATCCCAGTTTTTGTTTTGTTTTTGTTTTTTTTGTTTTTTGTTTTTTGTTTTGCTTTGGTTTTGAAACAGGGTCTGGTTATGTAACTCTGTCTGGCTGTTAACTCACCAAATTGCCCAGATTGTAATCCTTCTGCCTCAGCCTCTAGTGTTGGGAGTAGGATTTATAGGCCTGGCTCTATAGTACTGGAGTTCACATCTTTCCTCTGGCTGCAGACCAAAGCCCAATTTCAATCTTCAGGATGCAGCAGGTGGGGTGGTACATCCACCTTGGCTCAATCAAATGTGGCCAAGGAGGAAAGTTCAGGCAGAGTAAGCATGGCTCCCTAGAGCCATCTTCTGTGGGAAGTATGATTTTCAGAGACAGATGAAAAGTACTGAAAACCACCTGAGGAGCAAATGCTCCAAATTTGTCCTGTGTGGAAATACCAATGGAAACAAGTCTGTGTCTAAATGTGATGGATTAGGTTCACCCAAAATCAAAGAAGGGCAAGGCTTAAGAGGTAAAGCATACAGGGCTCGAGAGATGTTAGGAGGACTGGCTGTTCTTGCAGAAGACCCAGGTTCAAATCCCAGCACCTATATGGCAGCTAACTCCAGTTCCAGGGGATCCAATGCCCTCTTCTGACCTCCACGGGCATTGTATAACATGGGTACACTTACATGCATGCAGGCAATATACTCATATACATAAAGCAAAAATAAATAAATCAAAAACCATTTTTTTAAAGAGATAAAGAAAGCCGGGCATGGTATCACACTCCTTTAATCCCAGCACTTGGAAGGCAGAGGCAGGTGGATCTTTGTGAGTTTGAGGCCAGCCTGGTCTACATAATGAGTTCCAGGACAGCTGGGGCACAGGTGGTGGTGTATGCCTGTAATCCATGTAGTCAGGAGGCTTAGATGCTTGGATAGGATGACTGCTTTGAGTTCAAGACCAGTCAGGGCTAGATCATGAGATGGAGGGAGGGGAATTTAAAAGGTTAGTACACTATCTTTCCAGTCAAACTAGAGATTAAATCCTATTTCAGACACAAAGTAGCTATTTTAATCTCAGAAAATCTCAGAAAAGTCTCTATGTCTCAGTCTCAGTTTCCTCAACTATAACATGGTGAAACTAGTAGCTAGTGTCATTTGTTAGTTATGGGTATTAATTGAGATCTTACAGCAAGCTGCCTGGCTCATAACAAGCATTTAATCGAGCAACATTAGCATTATTATTATCATTACATCATTATCAGTGTTTTAAAGTAAAGTGCCTACAGTGTAATAAAAGGAATGAGGAATGGGTTAAACATAAAATGTATATGCTTACATATACTTATGAATTGTATATCAGTAATAATATTTGTTTGTATATATGTAGAGAGAGAATATGTAGGGAAATATAGAGTGTACATAGGATATATAGGATCATCTATAACATAGGAATGTAAGAGAGAATAATAAAAATATAACCATCCTGTAACTGGGCTCCTTGAGTGTGGGAACTGCCTGTTGCATGACTGTGCACACCTGTGGGGTTTTAAGGGAACACTAAACACACACCTCTAGAAATGTCAGTCTTGTGGAGCCAAGCAGACATGAGGTAGAGAAACGGTCCTTTTGTCTAAAATAGAAATTCTGACAGGAGCCAAGCTAACCTGACAACCAAAGATCCCATTCCCCTGACGGAAAAAAAAAAGCCCTTTTCCTTTCTGGAATGGAAGGCATGACTGATGGCAAAATTGACATTTCCTCTTGGGTGAAATCCTCCAGCCAAGCTGGGCGCTAACCGAGTAGGCGATTTCACTTTCGTCACTTCACAAAGACTTCCAAATTCACTGCGGCAGACACTGCAAAATAAAAATGTTAAGTACATCCTAGCTGAGGAGAGACGGAAGCCTCCGCACTCAATCAAAGGTTTGCAATAATAGGATTCATTTAGAAAAAAAAAAAAAAAAAAAAAAAAAAAAAAGAAAAAAAAAAAAAAGGACAGATGGGCTTAGGAAATGTTGCAGTAGAGGCTGGCATGAGAGGAGCTCACAGGCAGCCTGCCTTTTGTGGACCTGCACAATGATTCCGGAGCCAGACCGGCTTAGGAAAGCTTGGGACTAGGGCTCCAGAGAGAGGCCACCAGCTCCTGGACACCCAAGGGGACAAGCGACTGCGGCCATGCATCAGATCTACAGCTGCAGTGATGAGAATATAGAAGTTTTCACCACGGTGATTCCTTCTAAGGGTGAGTACGATTGCCCTTGGTTGTCCCCTACTGTGGCATCTCATGCGGGAGGTGACGACTCTGTGCTGTTAGACAACGGTACACTGATGCGCTGTACCCTCGGGTCCTGAGGTCTGCTGGCTTCTCTGCTTTGATAGCATTTTGATTTTTCCCTCTATATGGAAGAACAAAACTAAACATCAATCACCAGCAAACGATCTATCAATGGGGGAATTGAAGGCATTTTATCTAACTCAAAACGGAGGACCCCGCAGGCTCAATAACAGGGACAGCAAGTCACTGTTAAGGAGACAGAGATGGAAACAAAATCCCCAGGGCAGCCAGCTACTCCCTTGTATTGTCTCCAGTGAGCAAGGAGGTTCTGAAAGGAGAGCCAGCTGCTCCAAAGTCTGATGTCCAACTATGCATAACAGGGGAGGGGAAATGTCCCCAGCTGGCCAGGCAGGCAGGGCAGTAAAATGAGCCCTGACCCCAGACTGGCCTCTCCACAGAACCCAGGGTCACCAGGACCTAGTACCACTAAAAGGCACTAACTACCTGAGAACCTTGGCTTTATAAGCTCTCATCCCCTGGGAAGGACTTTGTGACTGAGGGGCATGCTGGTGACCAGCTTTCTCCTGCAAAGCCACCTTCCCCTTCACCTTGTTCCGGCTCTGCTGCCCCTGTCTTGCTGGGAGAACAGGCTCACACTTTGCCCTGGCCTCATTCTCATACTTTACTGAAATAGACTGGATGTCTGTTGGTAAACAGTTCTTTTCTTCCTCCCATGTCAGTTACCTACTGTCAGGGCCATTGCTCAGTGGGGAAGGGTGAGATGCAGCCTGGCCACAAATAGCCAGTCAACAGAACATAAACTGAGCTTTCAGCATCTACTGCTGAGGGAGAGGGAGAAGAGAAAAGGAGTTGGGCTTCTGCCCACATGTAGGAGTTGAGATTCTGAAAGTCAGCCTCTCTGAAACAGAATGAGCTAAATCTGTGTGGATAGAGACGACCTTTACATTTATTTATTTTATCTTTTTTTCCCCATTGCTAGTGATGAGCCCAGAGTCTTATGCATGCTAATCAGGCACTGTACCACTGAGCTACACCACCAATCACATAGATGGATATTGAGTGAGAGGAAAAAAGAAAGCTGAAAATTTATATATGTGATAGCATACTGTAAATATGGAAACATAAAATAATAACGCATACTGTTTATGATTATCTAGAGCAAAGTATAAAAGCACAGACAAGAGAGATTCATATCATATAAAAATCAGTAAGCTCAGTTGGTCCCAGAGGGGACAGAAGTAGAATTAGAGAAAGGTAGAGAGAGAACAGTAACTTTTCAAAGACATTATGTTTATTTTCACTAAATAGGGTGATTTATCCCTGTAATCTCAGCACTCAGAAGGCTGAGGCATGAGGAACTGAAGTTCAAGGCCAGCCAGGTAGATAGTGAGATGCTATCTCAAAAAAAATATTTCTATTTCTTGTGATTTAAAAAAAATAAGGGAGAAAAAGACCTTGACAAAATGGTTATAGGACTGCTGTCATCATTCTGTGCTGTGTGACCTTGGACAAGCCACTTAGCCTCTCTGGGCACAAGTTTTCATCCACTTCCATAAAAAGATAAACAGAATTTATCTCCCAGGATTATCAAGGGCAATAAATGGATTAATACATATAACATCTACAACAGTAGCTGGCCTGTATTTAGGACCATTAAATATATCACATAGAAAGTGATTTCTATTTTTAATCTACATGTGCAGCCATGAATGTATTCCTTTAAGGATAAATACTTGATCCTATTTTTTTTCTTATCTGCTTTATTCATGGCTTATTCCTGGAATTAAAGTACTTAGTTTCACAGACATTTCACTGCTCAGTAAACTTCTTTAGAAAGGATTACTTGCAGCTTTGCACAAGATCTAAGTGGATGAAACCCACCTCTTCCCATACCTTACTTTACCCCAGGGCCTTCTCAGAACCTTCAAACAGAGGGCTCTTACTGAGGGAAGCTGGTACTCCACATTTGTATCACTGTGAAACAGAAATGCAGTAGCCCCTCATCACAGACTACCTACTGTACTGCAGAAACACAAGTCAGCTTGACTTCGTCTAATGGGGTCTAAAGACCTCCGGAAGGCTGGTTTCCCAGAAACTATGTATGAATTATGAGCACCAATGAATAATAAGCAGGCTTCCTGGAACAGGCTCAGCTGTGCAAGCAGTGCAGCTTAGTGGTTATGAGTCTAGGTGGAAGGGACCAAACCTGGCATCTATGGTCCCATCACTCAGAAGCTGAGGTAGGAGGATCATGAGCTCCAGGCCTCGACTACAGAGTAAGACTGTCTCAAAAAAAAAGATTGTGGGGGCTGAGTTCAGTAGGTAGACTATCTTCCTCATAAGCATGAGGAACTGAGTTCAGAGCCCCAGAACCCATGTGAAAAGTCAGGCACAGTAACACCTGCCTGTAACCCCAGCTTTTTGGTAGTCAGTCTAACCAAATTAGTGAGCTTCAGATTCAATGAGAAATGTGTCTCAAAAAAATAAAATATAATAAAAGTAGCAAGTAATGGAGAAAAAAAGGCTCAACATCATTTATACACACTTGTACACACATACACACACCCACACTAACAAGTACACACACACACTCACCCCACAGAGGAGTTCTCAGTGTTTGTACCCTGGCCTCACAAGCATTTTCTAAAACTGTTTCTTATCTCTTTACAGTGTCCAGTCCAGCCAGGAGAAGAGTCAAAAGCTCTCAACACCTGACCAAGAATGTAAGGAAACTTTTTGATCCTCTTTTATTGCCTTTCATTACAAAAGCGATGTTGGCTTCTTCACTCCCTCTCCCCCACTCTCAAGGACAAGGAGGCCAGGAGGGTTTTCCATGTCCCCTGTGGTTGTTGTACACTCTCAGTCTTCCACTTAATAAAACTGACATACACCATACACCAACTAGTCCCCAAGGAGAGACTCCCTGGATCTGCCATGTTCCCCAGGTGCAGAGGGAACATCACTTTGTATACACGCATTTTTTTCTTTAAACAAAGTCCATGACACAGATGTAGTACCCCAATCCAGGCGTTTGTAAAGTCACATATTCTCACCATTATAAACAACAATGAACTTATTTGTACAAAATATTATTATTTTGCCTTAATTTCTTGTCACATATGCCTCCTAACAGAACTAACAGGTAAAAGAATAAGAACAGTTCATCCATCCAGTTCTCAAATATTTGCATTCCTAACATGTTAAGAGGTTGTGTAGATGTGATGAATATAAGAATAATTTTGTTGTTTATTTATTTGTTTTGAGAAGGACCTCTGGGTAGCTGAGGCTGTCCTCAAACCCATCATGTAGCCCAAGCTGGCCTCAAACTCTCAATCCTCTTTCTTCAACCTCTCAAATGCTGGAACAATAGGCGTGGTTTTTGAAACATGGTTTCTGCTCACAGTTTGGTCAGATATTTCCAGGAATTGTGAACAAACTGGAGGTTCTACCTTGCACTTCCGGTTTCCTACAACCTCACCAACATGGCCATTCCTTTTTTTATAAAAAAAAAAAAAAAAAAAAAAAAAAACAAGTATCTTCTTTTTTACTGTAGTACCTTAAAGTTAGTTATGCATTCCTAGAAGCTAATAATGTTATGCATCTCTCATTTTATATATTTATGTAAAAACTATCAATATATCTCTGTACTTTATCTAAAAAGGGAGACTAATAGGTTCTTGGTTATATAGTGTTTCTATCACAATTTTGAACAATACAACTTTGGATTTTTAAGTACCTCAATTTTTAAAAATCTATTCTTTTTTTAAAAACATATTCCTGGGACTGGAGAGATGGCTCAGAGGTTAAGAGCACTGGCTGCTCTTGCAGAGCATCTGGGTTTGATTCCCAGCACCACATGGCAGCTAACAACCATCCTTAACTCCAGTCCCAGGGGATTCTGACCACCTCAGGCACTGTACAACATAAGTACACTTACATACATGCAGGCAATACACTCAATACACATAAAATAAAATAAAAATAAGTAAAATATTTTGAAACTTACTCCTTATGCTTTTAATTTACAAAAACAGGTACTTTGAGAACACTGCACATGGCAGAGCATGCTGGGCAGTATCAGGAGCACTGCCCACAGCTGCATTTCATTTTAATCCCAAGGTCAGCATGCATCCATCACAAAATCCCAAACATTATGAAGATATAAAATTTAGCATCACAAAATCCTAAGAAGCTGTAGAACAGAGTGGAAGATGCAGAGACTTCACAGTCAAATTGCCTGTGTATGATCTCAGCTTCATCAGTTTCTGGGTAATCAACCTTTAACAGGTTGCCTAACCATTCTAGAACTTGACTTCCTTAGCATTAAGATGGGGACCATAAAAGCACATTTCTCAAGGGGAAGGAACAAATGACTTAACATATGGAAAGTGGTTGAGAGACTGATATATACTGAATACTCAATAAACATTGATGTATTTTAAGTGAAATTTTCCCATGTACCAAACAATAATTATGCTTTCTTGTCTGACAATGTACTAGTTTTGTAAATTGCTTCTATTCACTTAAAAATTGATTTTTTTCTTTTTTAAATTAAAATTTTACAGGACTGGAGAGATGGCTCAGTGCTTAAGAGCACTGGCTGCTCTTGCAGAGGACCCAGGTTCGATTCCCAGCACCCCATGGTGGCTAATAGCTGTCTGTAACTCCAGTTCCAAGGATCCAACGCCCTCTTCTGACCCCCATGGGCATTGCATGAGATGGATGCACTTATACACATGCAGGCAATACACTCATATACATAAAATAATAAAAATAAAATATTTTTAGTACAAATTTCATACAATATATTTTTATTGTATTTAGATTCCTTCTCCTATCCGTACCCCCTTTCCTACACCCACCATCAAATTTCATATATATATATATATATAGCGAGAGAGAGAGAGAGAGAGAGAGAGAGAGAGAGAGAGAGAGAGAGAAAGAAAGAGAGAAAATATCAAATTGGTGTTTCCAAATGTCCTTCAGTGTGGATTCATCCACTGGAGCCTAGTAACAATAGATCTTCAACATCTTTCCATGCCAAATAATATATAGATCTACTACTCATACTTAATGACTATATAGTATTCCAGTGTATGAATTACCATTATTTTTTCTTTTAATTTTTAATTTTTATTTATTATTTTTATTTTATGTGTATGTGTCTTGCCTGCATGTATACAAGTGCGCCTGTGTCTTGCAATGCCCACGGAGATTAGAAGAAGTCATTGGATCCCCTGGAACTCGAGTCATGGACAGTTGTCAGCCACCATGTGGATGCTGGGAGTCAAACCCAGGTCCTCTGCAAGAGCAGTCAGTGCTCCTAACTGCTAAGCCATCTCTCCAGCCCCTCTTTTAATCTTTTATTGAGCTTTTGTAACCATTGTCAAGGTCCTGCAACAATATCTTGAAGGCCTTTTCCAGAATAGCCAAGCCAATACTATAGGGCATCAATGCTGTTAAATGGTCACAGTCTAATAGGTGAAAATGCTTTATTGTTTTAATTTGCATTTTTTCCATTTCAATGTGATTCTTTTTTCATCATTTTACTGATCTTTTCAATATTTTTTCCTTATGGGTTTCTTATTCATTTCTTTTGCCTATCTTTCTGTCACTTGTGTTTTTTTATGAGGACTTTTGAGAACTTTTTCTATATTAATAACTGAAAGGCTTCTCATGGATGGAATTTGGATTGTAGGCCTGAGATTCTGGACTAGTTTATAATCCCTGATATCTTAAAAACTAAGCCCAGAAGGAAAATGCTCCCAGCCTTAAAAACAGTGGGTATAGTTTTAGCAAAAATGGAAAGGAAAGGGTCTTTTAACGATAATTTAGAGTTAAGAAAACTTCACTACTGATGTTTAGGTCTGGGACAAGAAGGGAAGCTCTTGTCTTCAAAGATTCACTCTCCTTCTAAGTGGGAGAATGTCTACCTGGTCTTTTTCCCCCTCCTCCCAATTTCTAATTTCCCCAATAGCTGCCCAAGTCCTCTTCTGTAAAACTCAGCACCAGCCACACAGACCACACAGATCAGACTGGGCATGGGGCTCATGCCTGTAAGTCCAGCACTTGGAGGCAGGTAGATTCTGAGTCCGTCCGTATCCAGCCTGGGCAACAGCCTGGCTCAAAAAACAAACAACAAAAAACACAGACACATTAAAAAAGACAGGTATGGTCTCTTGTTCCCCTTCCACCTCTTACAGATGTAGGAATGAGTGTCAAAGAGGAAAGACCTGCCTCTCATTTCCTCACCCAAGTGTCTCTGCCTTCCCTGAGCTCCCTTGGTCTCCTCCAACTCGGTGGTCTGAAAGCACCAAGGGAGAATCAGTCTCATTTTGCAACTACACTAACTTACACAACTTTCTTTGGCCCAGAATGCTTATTTGCACCTCCAGCCACTCCTGCCATTCCTTAGGCCACCATGTGGATAGAAATCCACTTCCTTCCTTTATAAAAACCACTTTTCCTCTGTGAGTCGTCCTCAGTGCTTAGGGGCTCTTTTGAGTTGCAAATACAGGGCAAGGCCACAAACTTCTCCTGTATTCCCTCTGTATGGGTCTCCGCTCTCTTTGAGTGTCTCCCTCCCTCCCTTCCTCTCTCCCTCCTTCCCTCCCTCTCTCCTGCCTGCCTCATTCTCTGTTTTCTATTCTTTTTTATTCTCAAGCTTTTTCATTAGTGTTCTAATCATCCTAATATCCATGGATGCCATAGAAGTGGCTCCAAAAAATGCACTTACACAAAGGAGTGGCTCCATTAAGCATTTCGGGACAAAGGAGCCCTTTCACAATAAGCAGGAAAGCTGTCAAGAGGATCAATAGAGAAATGGGATTGTTAATGTCATTTTCTCCCCAGATTTCATACTTGTGGGGGAGATATTTGTGTAGTAATCTCTTGGTTTTCTAAGATGCACTAAACAATCAATTGCACTTGAAAATTCTCACCTGGGTATAGGTTCTTCTGTGGGTTTTTATAGAGCATTCACTTAGGAGGCATGAAACTATGGTTCACATCAGTGTTGTCCCTTAAAACTCTGTGATCTTAAGACAGATGCAGAGCTCCTTTTGACTTCCGTTTTTCTGTATGTAAAATTAGCGAGCTGGGCTAGAACATTTCTGTGGATCCATCAGCCCCAAATCATGATGATGCCCCACCACCTAGGTCTCAGCCATCCAATTCCCCACCTGATCTCCAGGCTGGTAGACAACAGAAGCATGGCTCTGAGGTGCCAGAGGATGGACATCTTTGTTCATCTGACCTCTCTAAAACCAGCAATGCATTGAAGTAATATGTCAGTAGATGGTATACTGACCTAGGAAAGGAAAATCCCAACATTAAGCTCTTGTCTCTCCCCCCCTTCCCCTTAACATCCTTCACTCCCACCCTAGCTCTTCAGTCTTAGCTCTATACCCAGGATGCTACAGCTCTGCTGTCAGATCTCTTTGTTCTGAGAGCAAATGAGGCCACCAGCAGTAAGTTTTATAGACCAGAGAATAAGCCAGGCTGTCAGCAACCTGTTATTGGTGTGCTTTGGTGTACTGCAGACAGCACCCTTAAGAGGGGGCTGGCCCTAAGTGGTGACCTGGGAGGTAGCTAGTCTCATCTCCACACACATCTCCATCCAGCTGCTGAACTGAGAAACTAATGATTCTCCCCTCTCCCTCCTCATATCCTGGCCCCCAGCATAGGGAAGGCTTAAAGAGGGGACATATCTTGTTGGCAAATGGGCACATATGCCCCCCCCTCTTAGAGAAGGAACTACTGGAAGGCTCAGGGTCTTCCCATGAACTCCCCAGGCATTCCTGTGTCTTGCCTTATTTTGTCCTTCTACAATTAAGTGTGAAATCCCTACCAGTCCTGACAGGGATGCTGGAAAGAAAATCAGAACATCAGGAATAGCTATGGTGAAAGGTTGGCAGCACAGAGTCCTAGCCGTCAAGTAATGAGGCTTGGTACTAGAGATTCACATTCTCGGGGCCACTTATGCCATGTACCCATGGAAACAGGACCCAGAACTATCATTAATCTGAGAACTCCTAGTATGCTGAGCTCCATTATGGAAGAGATAGTGCTGCAAGGAAGCAGCACAGAGGAAAGTGATCTGTGCAGGTGTTGAGTGCAGACCCCGCCTCCACTATACTTACACACACACACACACACACACACACACACACGTGCACTGTGCCCAGGAGCTGCCCTCAGCCTACTTCAAAGGCTTACAGGAAACCAGCAGAATCTCTGCAGTGCCCAGAGCAGGAAAAGGCAAGGCTTGTCAATGCCAGCAATGGCTCCTAAATGCTCAGAATAGCCTCAGCTTTTCCCCCAAGATTCAGTCTGGGTCCTAAATGGATCTGAGAAGAGTGCATTTCCTAACCTATTTAAAACCAAATTTGCAATACTCAATTTCTAAGCTAAGGCCTATTTGTGGCAAACTAAAACAAAGACTGGTAGTTTCTCTTATTTTTCCTCTGTGGGAAACAAAGATTTGGCTTTCAGAACACTCAAAATCACTCTCAAATGCCACAGGTTAATGTAGGGCATGAAGACAGTCAGGTGTGCTACTGAAATCACTACTTGACTGTAGTGAAAGGTCCACTAACTACAAAGCGTCAAATCTGGATTTCTAGAGCTGGAAATGTAGCTTAGTTGATAAGAGTGCTTGCCTATCATACATGAAACCCTGGGTTCAATCCCCAGCATGGCATAAATAGGGCTTGGTACATACCCATAATCTCTGCATTCCACAGGTGGAGGCAGGAGGATCAGAAGTTCAAGGATATCCTCAGCTACATAGCAAGCTGGAGGATAGCCTAAGCTACAAGAGACCGTATCTAAAATTTTTAAAATGGGGCTTGAACTCAGGTTTGCTTGACCCCAAATGGAGTTATCTTGTTTTTCACTGATAACCTGATAGGAAAGGGAGATTTTGTTTATTTTATTAAATATGCATTTATTAACCTTCAGCATATTTTTATGTTTCTTGGCCATTTGTATTTTTGCTCCATTTCCTACTTTTTTTTTCAACTTTATTACTTGGTGAGAGTTTTATGAGCACAGGGATAATTCCTCATTAGATGTAACACTCTTCATCATATTAAGCTATATTCTATTCTAGCATTTATTTTTCAACATGCAGCTTTGACCTGGCTGGTATCCTTTATCAAAACCAAATACAGATCCTTTTTACCCCATGGCCTGATATTTATTCCAACAGTATTATTAAAGATTCAGTTTTCCTCCATTGACGAAATATGTCTGTCATACTTTTAAAAAATATTTTGTTTATTATTATTATTTTATGTGATGAGTGTGTTGCCTGAATAATAAGTGCACCTGTGTCATGCAATGCCTGCAGAGGTCAGAAGAGGGCATTGAATCCTCTGGAACTGGAGTTATAAACAGTTGTTACTGCCATGTGGGTGCTAGAAATCGAACCCAGGTCCTCTGCAAGAGCAGTCAGTTCTTAACCACTGAGTCATCTCTCCTATTCATTTTTGCTCGAGCATCCCCCTACAAAACAACACAATCATTTTGTGTGGTCAGCTGAAGGGGGTCTGCCAAAAGCTAAGTGTAAAGACTGAGCCTATCAACCTCACTCACAGATGCACAGCAAGCCCAGGAGCTGGCACAAAATGGGCCCTTACAGGACAGCTGTGCACAGAAGGAAGTGACTTGGGGAAATGCAAGCCTTGGGGGAGGCTGCAGTGTTGTGGAATACTCGGGAGTCTAATGAATGAGCCTTATGGAGTGAGGACACCCAAATGAATGACCCTGTGTCCTGGGAATGGATTAAATATGCAAGATCTGAGGCCTGGTTGCCAACATTCTCTTCATGACTCCCCGTATTAAGATAAAATGGCTGCTGCTATTTGTCTCAAGCTTTTACATTTAAATTAGCCAATGATTTATGTACAGTTGTCCCTCGGTATTCTCGGAGAATTGGTTCCAGGACCTCCACAGATAGCAACATTCAAAAGTTCAAGTCTTCTATGTAAATGGCATACCCTGTGCATATAACCCACATATATCCTACTTTAAATCATCTCTAGATGATATATTCCCTAAAATGATGAAATGCTATGTAAACTGTTGGTGTGTTGTATTGGTTAGGGAGTAAGGACAAGAAAAGGTCTGTAGATGTTCAATACAGATGGAGGTGTCTGTGGGGGGGGTATTTATTTTTTAATGTGTATTAATGTTTTGCTTGCACATATATGTACAGTATCCACAGGGGCCAGAAGAGGACATTGAATGCCCTGGAACTGGAATTATGAAGGGTTGTTAGCCACCATGTGGGTGCTGGGAACTGAACCCAGTCTTCTACGAGATGTTTTTTTTGTTTTTTTGTTTTTTTTTTTTTTTCAGGGTCTCCCTCCTTGTAGCCCTAGCTGGCTTGAAACTAGCTATGTAGACCAATGAGAAAACTCTCCTACCCCAAGATACAGGGCTTTAAAAAATATCTTTTCCAACTGCTGTTGGTTGAATGTGAGGATCTGGAACCCATGCACATAGAGGACTACTTTTATTATCGTTTTTCAGATCAATTTTAGTGGGCACTAACCCCTCCCCAGAGCAGTTAGCCACCTGGTGATTGTGATTGTGATGAAACCACGTTAGTTTTTAGCCCTCTGCTCTGACTTTCTGAGAGTTCCACTGTCAACCACTCTGGGGAAATTTGCCTTTGGCTGCATGAGGACACAGGCGTCGCCACACTGTGGAGGAAACGGGAGTACTGTGGAGCTATGCCAGCTCCATTTTGCCAGTTTTTTCATTTTAAAATCCAAGAAGCAAAATAGGGCTTGGTGATACATACCTGTGGTCTCAGAATTTGGGAGGTGGAAGCAGGAGAACCAGGAATTCAAGGTCATCCTCAGCTACATAGTGAAGCCAGCCTGGGCTACATGAGACCCTTGTTTGTAATGGCTAGTCCTGCAATGAAAACAGGTCAGTCCCCCGGGAGCTAACGGACCACCTTGATTTGGGAATTGATGGCCTACGCTCCTGACTTTGGGAAGAAGAGACGGCTGTAGAGGAAGGAATGAACGAACACACACACACACACACACACCCTTCATTTTCCTGCAGCATGGCGCCCAGTAGTCTAAAGTCAGCGGCTAAGTCTTTCTGGCCATTTATCCCCAGTTTCCCTGTGGATATGAGGTGGGTGTGCAGCCCTGGTCGCTGAGGGTCTCAGCAGAGGCTGACTGTCCTTTCCCCGCCTGCAGGTGGTGATCGAGTCGGACCTGTACCCGCCCAGGCCCCTGGAGCTGCTGCCGCACCGCAGTGAGCGCAGGGACGCGGGTGACAGCCGTAGGTTTGGCCGGCTACAGACCGTCCGGCCTCCAGGCGCGCATCCAGCCAAAACCCCCGCCAGATCTGGTAAGTGAGCCCCGACCCCCCAGCTGCCCCGGGGCCCGGGGAACCCCTAAGAGCCTGTTGCAGGCCGGAGAAAGCGCAGCATCGGCTTGTCTAGGTCCCATCATGCATGGTTCAGGGGATTGTGAGGTCCTCCCCGGAGGCCTCAGTTTTGCCAGGTGAGTGAGCACCTGAGCTTTTCCCAAATAAATCCTGTGTGCTTGAGAAAGAACCTGCTCTAGGGTCTCACCTACAACAGCAGTACCATCTATAAAGCACTGGCTGGCTCCCATGTTCTCATTCTCTCTCTCTCTCTCTCTCTCTCTCTCTCTCTCTCTCTC